ATACCAGGGAGGGTCTGAGGAAGAGGTGCCAAGCTGTGGTCATCACCTCTCCACCTCTGTCCAGCCTTTCTCATGGGAGCCACATGGGTCAGCCAAAGGCCTAGAAGGAAGGAGGCAGGGAGTGGGGGAAGAAGAATACTGGGAACTCAAAGCCTAACCCAACGGGAATGATATCTGGCTGCCTGCTCTCTACTTTCCTCCTACTATGGGTCAGGATATAAATCTTCCTCACAAAATTGTAGAATTAGAGAATGCCAGAGCTGGTAGGGGCCTTAGAACACAGAACGTCAGAGCCAGAAGGAGCCTTAGAACATAGAATGTCAAGGCTGGAAATGGCCTTAGAACACAGAATGCCAGAGCTGGAAGCGGCCTTAGAACACAGAATGTCAGAGTAGGGAGGGACCCTAGAACAGAGAATGTCAGAGCCAGAAGGGGCCTTAAAACATAGAATCCCAGAGCTGCAAGGGACCTTAAAACACACAATGTGAGAACTGGAAAGGACCCTAGAACAAAGATGATGGAGCTGGAAGAGACCTTACAGAATACTGAATGTCTGAGTTAGATGGGGCTTTACAATTTATTTTGCCTAAGTCCTTCATTTTATCAATGCGGGGAGGAGGGGGAAGGGCAGAATTCACATACTGAGTCGGAGGCATAACTAAAACCCTGAGACTAGAACCTAGTCTCCTGACGCCCAGAGCAAAGATCTTTTCACTCTAGTCTGACCACCCTCAGATACTATGATTTTCTGAAACTAAAAGCCTCCAGGCAGCAGCTGCTCCCGTAAGCCCCACAGGGCTCCTGATCCAAGGAGCTTCTCACAGAATCTGTTCCTGCCTGGACCACCTTTCATCTGACTCTGACTGCTTTGCATGATGGGAAGAAAGGTCACCCACAGCCCGAGCTGAATCTGGGCAGTGCCAAGGCTGGGAGAGGAAAGGGGAGTGCTCCAGGGGAGTCTGGGCAGAGGTGGATCCTAACTCATGCACTTCGCCATGGCCATGGAGAGACCACCATGCCCACGGTAGGGAAGAGAAGCCTCAGCACACACTTCATGCTCTGGGAAACCAAGCTGCCTCTGCACAGGGTGGGAGCCCTTGCCTACAGTGTATGTGGTTAAGTGGATCTGGCAAAGAAGGGAGGGAAAGGGCTTGGCTCCATACACCTGTTTGAGGGCTCTTGACAGGGTTCTTGTATTCACTACTCATTTTGGCCACTATGTGACTATAAAGTAGCCAGCTCTGGAACATCATTCACAAAAACCTTGCCTGTTTCCCATCTGGAATCTTCATAATGGATACCCTCCAGAAGTATGTAGACCATTCTCATAAAGAATTAATAAAAGTAGGAACATGGGATCATAGTTTTTCATATCCTCTCTACCACCTTTTCAGAGCAGTAATCACTTCTGTGGCTTTCTTCCCCTTTTTGGGGGTGGGGTATCCCCCTTTCTCAGAAATATCTTGAAAAATCATCCCACAATGCTTTCAAGATACAGGGGCAGGAAGAATGTTAACAGCAGCTAACTACACAGCACATTCCCATGCATTTCTCATTTAATCTTCATAATAAGTAGTACCTCTCTTTCACTGATGAGGAAACAGGTGCAGAGGCTAAGAGACTTGCTGGTAGGGGTCATAAGCTAGATTCAAACCCAAGTGCTAGTACAGCAGTGTTTACTCACCGTGTTATCCTGCCTATCTTTAATCTCAGTGTTGGAAGGAAATTAATGGTTGATGTGGTCCAACCCACAACTGAATCACCTCCCATCCAGTCTTCTCTTAAATACCTCTTTTGACAGAAAACTCACTAGGCAGGGTAGTCTATTTCACATTTGTTGGTCTCAGATGCTAAGTTTTTTCTTACGCTGGATAATGATTATCCAACATAATAATGATTATCCACCACAAGAGGCAGCTGGATGGCAAAGTGAACAGAGAGCACTGGGCCTGGAGTCAGGACACCCTGAGTTCAAATCTAGTCTCAGACACACATTAGCTGCATGACTTTGGGGGAATCATTGAGCCTTTGCAGCCTTAGTTTTCTCATCTGTAATATGGGGATAATAATAGCACCTACTTCCCAGGGGAGTTGTGAGGATCAAACATCGATAGTATTTGTAAAGTTTTTAGTACAGTGCCTGGCACATAGTCAGCGCTTAACTAATGCTTCCTCCCTTCCATTTCCTACACTGAGTAAAATCTACTCCCAATTTGTCTCAGTAGAATCAAACAGATCAAACCCTTCCTCTGATTCAACCTAGCCCTTCAGGTAGCTGGAAATACTTACCTATCACATCCTCTCCCATCCACCCCTACTATGCCAAATTTTTCCTTTTCCAGTCTAACTGTGCATGGCATGGACACTCCTTCCCACACCCTTATGGCTGCTATCCTTTGTATATGCTAAAGTTTGTCAATGCTCTCTTATTATAGACTTACAAAGAAAAGCAAGTGGTACGTACATAATAAAGACCTACTTTTAATTTTTAAATTTTTTTTTAACTTTTAAATTTTTTTTAATTTTTAGGCAACTGGGGTTAAGTTAATTAAATAGAATGTCAAAGCTGGAAATGGCCTTAGAACAACAGCAAAGGGCTATGATTGTCTGTGTCTTAATCTCCTACCAGACTGTGAGCTCCAGGAAGGCAGGGATCTCCAAATTTCCTATCTCTGCCAACCAAGAGGACAATGCCTTGTATAAAGTAGGTGCCTGATAAATATCTTGGCAAAAGGACGCCCCCATGTCACAAGGATGCTAGTAAGTGTCAAGCGTTTGGTCTGAAGCCGGATTTGAACTCAGGTCCTCCTGACTCCAAAGCCGGTGCTCTATCCACTGCTCCACCTAGCTGCCCCAAGACCTACTTTTATATAAAACCCTATTTTTCCCCCATTCTATTATTTCTATGTTAGTGCCTATTCTATTTGGTCTTTGCTAAGTCTGGAATAAAAATTTAAATATTTTAAATATTTATGCTTTGCCCCCATGAATGTTATCTCTCCCACCTTCATGATAGCACTCCTCCAAATCCTCATCTTGGTGGGCATGCAGTCAGTAAACATTTATTAAGTGCCTACTATGTGCCAAGTAAGTGCTAGGACTACCAAAAAAGGTGAAAGACAGCCCTTGCCCTCAAGGAGCTCACAGTCTAATGGGATAGCCAATAAGCAAACAAATATGTAGAAACATGCTATCCACGGGATAAAGAGGAAACAGTTAAGAGAGGGAAGGCACTAGAATTGAGAGGGGCTGAGGAAGGCTTCCTTCTGGAAGATGGGATTTCAGCTGGAACAAACAAGTAAGCACAGTGTGAGCTCTAGCAGCGCCTACCCCGCTAATTAGACATCAAGCATACACTTTAGCTCAGCCCCAGGCAGCTCACAACACTAAATGTAACTGAGAAATGTTTAACAAAACAACAAAATACAACGCAATATAGGTAATGTTAACATGTGGTTTTCTAAGTCAATATGTGGCCCACGGGGATCATTATGTAACCATCAGTGGCCCCATTTCTATATGAGTTTGACACCACTGGGCTAAGCAACAGAGACCAGTCTGTTTCCAGGGAGGACCAGGCTGGCACACCTCAGAGAAGCTCATTACTAGAGGGCTGGCCACCAGCAAGGACTTTTCTAACCACAGAAACTCAAGAAGCTGGCTGAGAAGGTGTGAAGGAGGAAGGAATCTAGTCTGGTTTGTTTGGGGTTTTTTTTTTGGGGGGGGAGATCCTAATTCTATCTCATAGGATCATTATAAGGAAACTTTTTCAAACTTTCAAGGGCTCCAGAAACAAGAACTATTACTGTTACAATTGTCCTGGGGATGCCGAAGGACTCATGAGGAAACACGCTGCCCTGCTCCTGACCGGGAGGTGCTGGACTGAGGGGGCAGACGAAGACAAGGACACTTTTTGGATATGGCTAATGAGGGAATTTATTTTACTTGACAATGCATATTTGTAATGGAGGTTTTGTTTTTCTTTCCTTCTCAGCCGAGGTGGGGGGTAAGCTGATCGGTGGAAGAGAAAGAAGGTGGATTTTTGTTGATTGGAAAAAAAACATTAAAAAAAAGAAATGCAATATAATAATAAAAGATATCCATAAAAGATTTGAAAGCAAATTCATATTAGTGGGACAAATACCCACAGTGACAAACCCCAATTCTTCTCGAGTCTTTCAAAGTAAGCATATTCCGTACCATCAGTTTCAGCCCCACCATCCCAGCCTGCCGCCATCTTCCTAGTCTTGGATCCCATCACTTAACTATGCAGCTATTTCTCTCAGCTTTGAGTCTTCTGAAAATATAACAAGCATGTCATCCACACCTTAATTCATGTTACTGCTAAAAGTGTTGGTCTTCATCAACTCCCAGGGCACCCCCTGGAGATCTCCTTTCAGGGTAACATGAAGCCACTGGAAACTCTTCTTTCTAACTGGTCTTTTCACCAGTTTTGAACCCAAGTAAAGGAACCCTTATCTGGCCCTTATCTCTCCTCCTTGCCTTAAAGGACAAGGAATCATCATGGAAGAGCAGGCATTCAAGTGAAGTTTTAAAGGATGGGCAGAAAATGAGCAGATAAAGAAGGTAAGAGATAAAGGCATTCCCGACATAAGGAACAGCGGGAGCAATCCTCTCGCTCCTTAATGCGCCTTCTCCTTGGATCTAAGGGAGCACCGTATTTGTCCCTCTCTAATGCACTTGGCATGGAATATTGTATCTTTCAGATTTTTGTGTTTGCATTTTATCCCCCTATCAGACAATAAGCTCTATGAGGGCAGGAATTATGTTTTATCTAAGCTATGCCTCCTCCAGAGCCCAGTCAGGCTCAGTGCATAGTAGGTACTTAGAATATTTGTTGAATGAACTGAATTATGTCTTCAGAAACCATGCTTTGGCCTGTCCCCTTTCCTCCCAGGGCTAAATTGTTTCCTTTCTCCCTCCACTTCCACCTCCAGGTCCCTCGAGGACATTTGGGTCCAGGTGCTGGTAGAACTCACTGGAGTAGTGTCATCATGTGACCGCTGGTACCGTTTCCATCGGCAACCATAGATCCCAGTGAGGCATGACAGGCAGAGCTGGGGCTCGTAATACTGTAAGGGCTGATGTCTCACCATCCTCTCGCCCGCAGCCCCGGGGACTCGTCCTCAGAGCCCCATCCAGCCTCCGTGCACCCTGCGAAAAGAGACCAGGCGTAAGGAGGGAAAGGAAAGTTGATAGAAAAGGGGAGAAGGCTCTAACAATCCTGATAGAGTTCTGTGAAGTAGAAAGAATGATGGGTTTGGAATCGGGGGTCTTGGTTTTGATACTTGCTAGCTGGGTGACCTTGGGTAAAGTGACCACCTCTATAAACCTTGGCTTCTCAGTATTACAAGGAGGTAATAGGATATGTACCGGCCCACCCCAAAGAGCTTTTGTGAAGAAAGTTCCTTTGTTTTCCAGTTGTTATTTGGGCAACAGATTTCTAAATTATGTCTCCATTCATTTATGAGCTGACTCAGAGAATAGCAACCTCTTGGAATTTTTAAAGAAGACCTGGACCTTTCCCATGGATCACCCTCTCTCCACCCTCAGGCCACCACCATCACAATGGTCCTCATCACCTCTCAGCTGGACCAGGACAGCAGCCTCCTCACTGGTCTTCCTGCTCTGTCTCCCCTCCCCAGCCCATTCACTGCTGCCAAAATCATTCTTCCTAAAGTACAGGTCTGACATTTTTCTACTCAATAGACTCCAGAGGCTCCTGTATCTCTAGGATCAGATACAGACTTCTCTGGCATTTAGAACTCTTTATAACATGGTCCTGCCCTACCTTTCCAGTTTTTTTGTTTGTTTTTTTTTGGTGAGGCAATCGGGGTTAAGTGACTTGCCCAGGGTCACACAGCTAGTAAGTGCCAAGTGTCTGAGGCCGGATTTGAACTCAGGTCCTCCTGACTCCAAGGCCAGAGCTCTATCCACTGTGCCAACTAGCTGCCCCCCTTTTCCAGTTTTAGTACACATTAGTACCCTTTATGAACACTACAGTCCAGTCAGCCTGGGCTTCTGACTGTTCATTACACAGAAGTCCTTTTCCCATCTCCAAGTCTTTGCATTGGCTGCCTCTCCCCTCCATGTCAAGAATGCAAGCCCTTCTCACCTCCTTCTACGTGAAGTTCTTAATCCTAGCTGCTAGCGTATGTCAGCTTATAAAGGTTGTTAGCGCATTTATAAGATGAGAGTATTGATCCCTGCTTTGCCATGAGAAAAGGACCAGAGACAGAGTTTAGAGGGTTCACAGACAGAAGAGATTCTCTCTGGCTAAGTCCCAACATAATGAGTTCCTGGGAGATGCTTCAGCCTTTCAATACTTCCAAGATCCTCCTGTACGTCTCCTTCAGTAACTGCAGTCAAAAAAAATAGAGGCCAACCCTTTGCTGATGTGCCTCTCAGGACTCAGACAGAAGATACCCCCCTACCTTCTCCACCACTTGGCCAGGCTGTCAAGTCTTACTGGCAGAGCCCATTGGGTAATTTCATTCCCACTGAGTTGAAATATTCTTTTTGGGGACTAGAGTGAGGAAAATTCTGAGTCTGAATCCAGCCTCAGACACTTACTAACTGTGTGATCCTGGTAAGTCATTTGACCTTTGTCTACCTCCATTTCTTCATCTTTAAAATGGGGACAATAACAGCACCTACCTCCCAGGGTTGTTTTGAGGATCAAATGAGATAAGAATTGTAAAGTGCTTAGCACAGTGCCTGGCACAGAGTAAGAGCTATATAAATGTTAGCTATTATTGTTGTTATTAGTTCTATCCCAGATTTTTAATTGTTATGTGACCCTGGGCAAATCAAACCTTTTCAGCCTCGATTTCCTCAAGGCTGAAGAAGGTGGGGAGATGATGGCCTCTTCTGGCTCTAAATCTATATATGTGATTAGCCTGTATTTACAGAGGCAAAAAACTGAGGTCCAGAGTACAACAGGGACGTTGCTATGGTCACATCAAGAGTTGGGCCAGAATCTGAATTCAAATCTAAGCCTCCAGTCTCCCAGGCCAGAGTTCTCACCACCTCACTCTAAAATGAGAAAAGTCAGATGTTTCAGGGGAGCAATAGGAGGTAATAGGAGAAAGGGCTTCCTTTCTTGAAGATGCTCTAATAATAACCTTAATATTTATATCACATTTCAAAGTTTACAAAGCACTTTACATGCACAGATAATTTCACTAGATCCTTTGAGGTAGGTGATGCCGTTATTTCCATTTTACAGATGAGGTTCAAGCAGGCAACATGACTCACCCATGTTCACACGATGATTGCCTGAAGGGAGACGTGAACCTGGGGCTTCGATTCCCAGTGCATTAGCCTACCCATCACACCATGGTGCCTCTCCAGAGAGGAGCCCTGTTCTGGTCTACGTTCCATTTAGTGTCTTCTGAGTTCCCTTCCAACTCTGCTATTCCATGATTCTGTCTGTGCCAGGTGCTGGAGTCCTCCAGCTGTGAATTAAAAACCAGCCATGGAGCTGGGAAGCTTGAGCCCAGGCCTATGTGTGCTTTCCTGGTCTCCAGAATGCAAGAGACTAAGTGATACTTAGGACTTGCTTAGTCTCCTAACTGTTGCTGACAACACATTTAATTGTCAGGCCGAGTGTCAGGGCTTGTTCAGGGAAAGGACCCAAACAAGAAACAAGGCTCCTTGTTTGATTCTCTCCATGACTGGAGTATTTTTCTGTGTTCATGGAGAATGAAGAGAATGGAAATCTAAAATCTATGAGAGGGGAGCTTGGTGAGCTGAGCCCTGCCCTGCTCCTGTCCCTGGAACCATGTAACCAGAGGCTCCACAGTCATCTGCCAGGGACTCTGAAGAAGGGGTTCATCCAGCAGGCAGGGCACTGGATGCGATGACCTTTGTGATACCCTTCAGGGCGCTGGTGCCCACTGCACTGGCCCTAAGACCCAAGGTGGGAGGAGAAGCTATATGACTCAGTAATCCCTACTGGGTCTTAGGCTATTGGCCAACTGAGGTGTGCTGGGTAAAGCACAAAATCTCAGAGCCGTAGGGACAGACCCCAGAGGGAAGAGACCTTGTTAGGAAAAGAACCCTCTCTTTAGCATCTGGAGAGATCCCCTCCTGGTGACTCCCACCAGCTGCTCTGATCCCTGCCCTGTGGGGTCCCATAAGATTACAGTCAACCACGCTCACACTGCCTGTACCTTAGGAACCTAGAACACAGAGGGTGAAGGATTCTTGAAAGGAACTGGATAGCTCATACTAATAGCTAGCATTTTAAGGGCCTTACCTGGGCCATTTCTTTTGAATGCTATGACCACCTTGGATGGCAGTGCTAGGATTTTCTATTTTGCAGATGAGCAAACAGTCTGAGAACTTAAATGACCCTGCCCAGGTTAACACAGCAAGTTAGCATATGAGGTAGGACTGGAATTCAGGTCTTCCTGACTCCAAGTTCTTTAATAATCATAAACAACTAGTATTTATATATTATTTTAAGGTTTACAATCACTTCACGTATGTTATCTTATTTGGTCCTCTCAATGAGCTTGTAAGGAAGGTGCTATCACTGCCATTTTAGGGATGAGGAAACTGAGGCAGAGAGGAATTAAATAATCACTAATAATAGGAACTAGAGGGTTCAATGGAGAGAGCGCTGGGCCTGGACTCAGGAAGACCTGAGTTCAAATTTGGCCTTAGACACTTACTAGCTGCGTGACCCTGGGCAAGACACTTAACCTCTGTTTGCCTTAATCCACTGGAGAAGAAAATGGCAAACCACTCCAGTATCTTTGCCAAGAAAACCCCATGGACAGCACTAGCGTGCTATGGTCCCCAGGGTCATGAAGAGTCGGACATGACGAAATGACTAAACGACAGCATTTATATAGCACTTACTACGTGCCAGGCTGTGTGCTATGTGCTTCATAATTATTATCTCATTTGATTCTCACAACAACCCTGGGAGATAGGTGCTTTTATTATCATTCTCATTTTATAAAAGGGAAAACTGAAGCAAACAGGGTAAGTGACTTGCCCGGGGTCACATAGCCTAATAAACATCTGAGAAAGGATTGGAACTCAGGTTTTCCTAATTGCTGACTCTAAGATCAGCACTATCTCCTCTACCACCTCTCTGTCTCATCTAGTTGTCCTTTCATTTTATAGATGAGGAAATACGGATGCCCCATGAAACCCTAAGCCATGCTTTAAGGTCCAGCTCTGGTCCAGCCTCCTCCACAAAAATCTTCCCTGATCTCTTCTCCCAACCCCATCCCCCATCACCTCCAGGTGATTTCTCCTTCCTTTGATCTCATAATGCTTTATATTCCAAATAAGCACATATCAAACCCTTTAATACTACAATTCTTTATTGATGTCTTATCCTCAGGTAATAGACTATAAGGTCGGGATAGGGATCTACTATCAGTCATTTGTACATCCCCCAGAAGACTTCAGGAAAGGTCTGTGGTATTATTGAAACCTTGGGTTTTCATTTAAATGATACGGAAAGGGACTCAATGAGAGAGACTACTGGTGTTCTTAATAATGCCTATCCTTGCTACATTCTGCATCTGCAGTTAAGCTGAGGGAAGTTTAGGTGGTGGAACATTGGACAGACTACAGGGAGACCCTAATTCAAATCCTGACTGCAGACACTTAGCAGCGGGTCACCCTGGCAAGTCTCTGAACCTCTCTAAGAATGACTTTCATCTATAAAATGAGGGTCAGACTCAACAGCTTCTAAGGATCTTCTAACTCTAAACCTGTGATCCTCAGACTTATAAGCTGTGTGTATGTATTTTCTGAACATACACAACACACACACACACACACACACACACACACAAACACACACGGTGTTCTCTGAATATCAGCTGGAAAGGATCTTGAAACACCATATGTTACAACTAAAAGGAACCTCAGAATCCATATCCAAGCATTTATTAATCACCTATGAAGTAATTAGGCAGGGATTTTGCTACCTCTGCTGGATACACAGTCCCTGGTCCTCTAGCAACCCTACATTCTTTCAGAGGAGACAATGTGTACATTTAAATATACAAAGTAAAACAGCTGTGAGGCAATTGGGAACCGCTTCATTTTAGGAGGTGGTGTCTGAGCTGAGCTTTGAAGGGAATTCATTCAAGCCCCTTCTATTACAGGAAGGGAAACTGAGGCCA